TCATATTTCAGCCTCTTGTAAAAGCGTCACCGACCCAAGGGCTCGTTTTGAGATTCTAAAGAGAGATGGTCAATGCTTTGTTTGTCTAAGTCTGGATCATAAGAGCACGTCATGTGAAAAGAACTGTCGTCGATGCAATGGAAATCATCATCAATCAATCTGTCGACGTAAGACGCACCGTAAATCGCAGCACGATTTATCTGCTAACAAAAATTCACAAGAAACCCAAAATTCGACTCTGGTGACCCAATCAACAGAAGTTTCACAACTCCCACAGTCGACTACGACCGCAAGTTCTGGCTCAAAGGGCACAGTTTTACTACAAACTGCTTCAGCGATTGAAAGAAATGAAGATAGTACAAAATCAACAAGAGTTAAGATCTTATTTGACAATGAAGTCAGAGATCTTATGTAACTGATAACCTCAAGTCAAGGCTGGGTCTGAAATCCACGAAAAAGGAAATGCTTCACCTAAGTACATTTGGAGCAAAAACCTTTCGAAAACAGAAATGCGATGTTCTAACCTTGTTTCTTCAGGACGTCAAGGAAGAAACGTCGAAAGTTTGTGTGCTTAGTTTCCCTACTACTTGTTCACCACTTCCATTGGCTAATTACTCCAATTCCGAAGATTCAATAGACGTTCTCATCGGATCTGACTACTATTGGGATTTTGTTACGAGTGAAATCGTTCGAGGAGACTTTGGTCCTACTGCATTCAATACTAAATTTGGTTGGTTATTGTCAGACCCAACAGAATCCATTATCAATCAAGAAACAACCGTGGCAAACCTCACTACAGCCGGAAAAAGCAACAGCTTGTTTGATTACACCCAAGATGCCCTTGTTGATACTTTAAAACAGTTCTGGGAGACAGAGTCAATTGGAATCAAGGAAGTTTCAGAAATCATGGAGTCGCACGATGGTTTTAACGAGCAGGTCCGTTTTAATGGACAATGTTACGAAGCGCTGTTGCCTTGGCATGATAATCATCCAGCAATATCCAGTGACTATGAACTATATGTCAACCGCCTTAAATCACTGCAACGAAAATTGTTAAAGGAACCGGAACTGATTCGCGAATATAATCAAATTATTGAAGAGCAATTGAGCAAGGGAATCGTGGAAAGGGTTGCTGCGGAGAAGGACAGTGACGAAGAAGAAGTACACAACCTTCCACACCACGCCGTGATACAGAGAGACCGCGAAACAACCAAACTAAGGATTGTGTATGATGGTTCAGCTAAGCCCCCCGAACCTACTCACTCCTTGAACGATTGTCTTGAAACAGGGCCAAATTATACCCCACAGTTATTTGACACACTGGTGAACTTTCGCTGGCACAAGATTGGTCTTATGGCTGACATAGAAAAGGCCTTTCTCATGGTTGGAATCAACGAAAGGGATAGAGATATGCTGTGATTCTTGTGGCTTAAGGATCCTGATGATGTGAACTCTGAGATTGTACATTTGAGGTTCACCCGTCTCGTGTTTGGACTCAGACCATCTCCAGCTATTTTCGCATCAACGATTCGACACCATTTAGACTCACAAGTGTGTGAAGAATTCAAGCCGCATTTCATTGAGGTCTTGAAGAAATCCCTATTTGTAGACGATCTTGTTACCGACGAAGGAGACGAAGCGAAGGCGTTGGAGCTGTGTTTGCAGTCAAAATCACTTACGCAACGGGGAGGATTTAATTTAAGAAAATGGAAAACGAATTCAAAGATTGTGCAAGAGGCAATCAATGGAATGAACGACCACGCGAATCCAACTACTGAACGTGGAAGCACGAAGACCATTACCAAAGAACACGAATCGTATGCAAAGACTATGAACGAACCTCCAATTGCGGCTGACAGTACCTCCGAAAATGCAATCGTTAAAGTATTGGGCTCAATTTGGAACACTGACACTGACCGGTTTATGTTCGACTTGGTAGATCTCTCGCAACACGCAAGTTTACTCCCGACTAGGTAGCGATCGTTATTAAAGATCTCAGCCAAGATATTCGATCCTCTCAGACTGTTGAGCCCGTTTACTATCCAGTGGAAAGTCTTATTTCAAGAACTTTCTATTGAACGCACCAATTGGGACAACCAGTTAGAAGGTGGTCACTTGAAGAAATGGAAATCACTCATTCTTGAGCTTCAAACACTCAACAGTGTTTATATACCAAGGTGTTTTTTTTAACTGCACGTCTGGCAATTTGAAGTCAGCTGAACTTCACTGTTTCAGTGACGCTTCAGAAAAGGCTTACGCTGCAAGCATTTATGTTCGCTCCATTTATTAGGATGGACGCATTGATGTAAAATGGGTTGCCTTGAAGACTAAACTGGCATGAGCTACTTGGTGCTACAATTCTCGTACCTTTGGCTAAAACCGTTCAGACCCCCTTGCCTCTGAAATTGGAAACCATGTTCTGGGTCGACTCAATGACTGTTTTATGTTGGATAAGGAATCTCAAACCTTGGAAGAGTGAGTAGAGTGCAAGAAATTTGAGCGCATACCACTCCTGATTCGTGAAAGTTCTGCCCAGGCAACCAGAACCCTGCTGATATTCCGTCACGTGGCATGTCCGCAAGTGAATTAGTCTCAGAGAAAAGGTGGTGGAACGGCCCTGAATTTCTGTACAAGGGCGAAAGGGAATGGCCACAGGAGGACCATATCCAATCGGATAACGAAAATGCCTGGAAAGAAATCATCCAGAATCCTGCAACTACTACACACGCTTTGATCAGCAGTGCACAAGTAACAAAAATTGGCGTACACCTAGTAATAGCAGTCAGTCGCTATAGCAGCTGGAAGAAACTACTGCGAGTTACTGCCTACGTTCCGCGATTTATCAGAAGATCAAGGAAAGACAATGGTCTCGAATTATGCGCGGAAGAAGTTCGATCTGCAGAAGAACTTTGGATTAAGTCCATACAGTACCAATCCTTTTCGGATGAAATATGCCACTTGGTGACGGCAAGAAAATTACCTGAGCCACCTCTCGTGTGACAGTTCAACCTCTACCTAGATGACAGTGGCCTTATGAGGTGTAGAGGAAGATTTCAAAACAGTCTACTAAATCAAGAAGCCAAGACTCCAATTTTGTTGCCCTCAAAGCATGATGCTGTTAAGTTGATCATCAAGGACACACACAATCGAGTGTTACACAGTGGAGTAAACACAAGTTTGACGGTGATGAGGGAGCGATTCTGGATAATACGACGACGGCAAACCATTAAGAAGATTGTGAGAAGATGCATAAGATGCAGAAAGGTAGAAGGAAAACACCTCTCACTGCCGCAACAACCCGACCTACCCAAAGAACACGTTTCGGATGACCCACCTTTTACGCATACTGGTGTTGACTTCTCTGGACCCCTATACACCTCAGAGAAGGGTGCAAATGGGGAGACGCTAAGGCGTACGTATGTTTGTTCACGTGTGCCTCAACAAGAGCTGTGCATTTAGAGTTAACGAAAAGACTGAGTTCTGAAGCCTTCAAGCTAGCCTTTCGTTGATTTATGAGCAGGAGGGGACTACCAGTTACTTTACTATCACACAACGCCAGGACATTCAAGTCCGCTTCGAAGGACACTGTTAAGATATCAAGAGCTAAGGAAGTTACCCATTACATGGCCAATAATGGTGTGACGTGGAAGTTCATCGTTGAAAGAGCCGCATGGTGGGGCGGTTTCTGGCAACGCCTAATTCAAACAGTTCAGTGCACACTCAATAAAGTGATTGGACGAAGTTGTTTAAGTTTCCAAGAGCTCAACACATTATTAGTAGAAGTGGAAGGCATCGTCAAGCAAGACCGCTGACGTACGTTTATGATGACTTGGATGGTATCAATTACGTGCTAACACCCTCACACTTAATGAATGGCGGCCGCTTGCAAAATACTCCTAACTCTAGCCACTTTGAGATTGTTAGTACCCACGAATCATTGACCCGAAGATCTCGGCATCAGAAACGCTTACTCAACCAGTTTACAGAAACATGGAGAAAGGATTACTTGGTCAGCTTACGTGAGACTCACGCAGCGAGTTTAAGGAGAAACGAAGACCCTGGAATTGCTGTTGGTGACGTGGTCTTGCTTCAGAATGATTCAACTAAGAGAGTGCTTTGGAAACTAGCGATGTAAAGGAATTGTTACCCGGGAGTGACAACAGAATTAGAGCAGTGGTCGTACAAGTAGCAGGTTCAAAGACCTTGTTGAAGAGAAGTATCAAGCACCTAATTGCTATTGAAGTGAAATTGAACGTGGACGCGTTAACAGAAACTGATGGCCCAATTCAATTTGAAGAATTACCCAATGCGGAAACCGATGTCATCGGCAGACCTCGCCAAAGAGCGGCAATAAATGGAGAACTATTATGGAGATTTAGATCTTAACATTGTGAACGCTTTCGAATTAGGAACTTTTTTTTGCTATGCTTAGTAGCTTTCCGAATGAAGTCTAGAAACTGAGACTTAAGATTGTGGACTTTGGAGCTTATTTTATTCGTTTGTTTCGTTTAGTTATTTTTCATCTGTATCACTTTGTGAACAGATGCGGGGAGTGTCAGAATTAGTAACAAATATATCACGTAATTTCCTCACCGAATGTATTAATATCGGTGTAGAGTTTCAATGTTGTATGATTTCATCTTTTGGTAGAATAAACGACGATCAATTATAGTTGTTTTTGGTGTTCGATACGATTTATGGTTTTGGTTTACGATACGATTTAGGAAACAATCTGTAGACGCGTATGTACGTACGTACGCTCGGTGAATCACGTGAAAACCAAACAAAAAGAGGTTGACCATATTCCATGAGTATGGGGCTTTGTCCCACACACGCAGGCACCCAGGTCAGTAAAACAAGTATCTGTTTACTTACTGTTGCAGAAAGCTATCCTCTTAACACGTACCCATCTGGATCCATATGATGCTATTAAGCTGTACAAATCAAGAGTCTTGTCATTAGGCAATCAGGAAATTCTCATCACCCGCCAATCTGGCATCATGTTACGAGATTTTTTCAAAAAGTTCAAGAGGAGTGATCTGGACATAAAGAAGGTCCCAGATGTCACTTTTATCGGTGACGAAGGGATCGATGCCGAGGGCTTGACCAAAGAGTTTTTCACCTTGGTAATGAATGCTTTGACTAGTGGCACCGGGGGCCACATAATGTTCGAAGGAGGAAGTGACCACCTGGTGCCAGTCATCAGTGAAGAGTGTTACCAAAGTGGTTACTTCAGATTCGCGGGACAGCTTATTGCCATGTCAGTGCTCCACAGGGGTATTGACATAGGAGGGTTATCTGGGGCCCTTACAATATACATGGTCACAGACGTTGTGGAACTAGCAAGCTGCAATCTCTTAATCGATGTCCCTGACCACTGTGTGCAACAGGCTCTTATGGAGGTACATGTACTGTTAGATAAGTAACATTTTCGTATGAAACTTCTTAAAATTTAGGACAGGAGAAGGCTCTATAACAGAAACACATTTTATGTGAATCCACAGCAGGGGGGATGCATGGAGAGGGGAGCAGGGAGTTCACTGTTCAAGATAGGAAAACAAGATACAAACGTGATACTCTAGTAGCTGGTGCAACTGGATGTCCCAAATTTGTGCTGTGGGAGGACATGGCAGATAAGGTGACCAAAGTGCTACAATTTCAAAAATCTAACAGTTCGAATTCTCGATGACACCAAATATCTCAATAGTAATGAGTCTACAATAGTAGAAGAAACTGATGACATCGAAATGTGCACAGTATGTAAACAGTACTCGTTTAGTTTTTTCCTTTGTATGTGTTAATATATTTATTCAGTTTAATATATCGAGAAAAGTTGTCTCTGCATGGCCAGATATTTAGTCTATCTCGCTATCAACTTGTAATTTACTTCTTTTTTCCCACAAATAAAGATTCATTGTTCATATTGTGAAATAGATATTTTCTTTAGTCTTACTTTAGCTTTTGAATTGGTTCTTTATTTAGCCTAATTCTATCCAGATGCTTAGACGTAAACAGTTTTCTTAATTTTAAGATTATCTTAACATTTTAGTTTAGTTTCCATTTAAGCAATAGACTGTAACTACTTATCTGAGCCGCACTTGGCTTTAATGTTAGTGGAGGCCCATAATAAGAAACTCCGTTTCGGTATCATTCATCTTCAATCGGTTGGTGATCATTTGAAATTGATCATGAGCGATCCAAGCTTCTATTACTCTGAGCACTTCATGTTAAGATGTCAACAATGGCTTGAAACGGAAATGCAGGTGAATATCATCTGCATTTACAGGGGTTAATATCCTAATGCACCACAGGTTTTCCAAGCTCACTGCATAAATTACGGTGTTTTAATACTGATTTCTGTGTCACGAATGACCTATATCCAGGGAGCAGCAATGCTCTTAGGCATACTTCATGCTAAGGAAACTGGGATAAGCTCTGGCTGTTTGGGCCTTAAGCTTGTGTGCGCCATTACCTACCTTTTTATATGCAGACCAGACGACGATCGAATAGTATCCCATGATGCACCTCGATTCATGTTATATTATCACTGCGTACGTGACACATTATGATCAGTAACCTTCAGCACGCGCGAAGTGAACATCGATCGCAGTGCTCGATGTGGATGGTTTCCAAACATGTTTCAGTTCAGCAGCTTCTGCTTTTGAGATTATCGAGTTGGCTAATATTCACTGTGCTTTAAAGGTGAATTTCAGCGTTGCTTTGACTGAGAGGGGTTTTACAGGTATTTCACTGATCTGAACTACTTGTGCCGCGCTCAGTCGCACTGTAAACACAAATTATAAGACTCGCAATTGATAAGCTTCGCTAGGTTCACTAGGAGAACCCAGGCCAGAGGAGAACCAAAACTATGACTGATCTATAAAGTGGTTCCAACAAAACATCCGCTACACTGTGAAGCTAATTACCAAAGGATAATTTATTACAGCATCGTGCTGAAAGGAGCTGAAGTTTACAATGGCAGTTACAAATAAAATTTAACCTATCGATGCGACAAACAATTCTCTGAAGCACAGTCTACCCGGTACTGACTCAAGCAATCTTCAAGGAAATTTCCTGGCCAGAATACTGATCTGTTCTTTTGAATAAATAAAGTTTCTGCATGATGTTTCTTTTTCAAATTCTGAGCAGGCTTCAGTTTACGTTGTGCCGGCTTGCACGCTGCGTGGTTCCTTTCTTTGGGTTCTTTTCACACTGAAACACACCGTTATACACCGCTCCTTCTTCGAATTAAAATAATTATAGTCAAATTCCTTTTAAAAATAACCTCTTTGAAAATACAAAGTGATTGCTTCAGCATAAAGCGCTCTTAAAAGCGCCCAACAGATTGTAGCCTTCATCAGGCTTTACACATATATTATGACACATGGCGTTGAAATGTGATAAAAGATTCGAAATTTCAGCCATCTTTGGTCGACAAAAAAGTCTTCAAAATGTGGGTACTTCTTGGCCTGTACAATATTCAGGACTTCATTTTGCTGGCGTGAGGTCCACATTTGTAAGATTTCAACATGTATTCCAAAAAAACCTTGAATATTCATGACCTGGTTGTGGGTCACTGAACACTTTGTGATGGGAAGACTAATTGAAACCGTGAAAATAAATGTTTCTAAGTGGAAACTTCGCTCTTAAGCCATTGCAAATCGGAGAAATCATGTCAAATAACGAAATAATGTAATTTTTTTACTTTTACTGGAAATCGAGTGAGAAAAAAGCCGACGAGAAAACGACCTTATTTCAAGATGGAATCTGCTATGACTGCAATATTGCGCGATGCTTCTGGAAAAATGCATCATGGGATACTACTCGATCCTCCTCTGTATGCAGACTTATTTTCTGAAAATTATCCCAGAGGTTCATTTTTAGGGCAAAGGCAAACCACACCTACAGACGACTTTCCAGTTGATGTTATAGCTTGTAGGACTAAAACCAGCAAGGCTTTAAGCAATGTTTTGCCTCTGTCTGACATCCTAAGCCCTTTTGTGTAAAGCATGAATCGCAGCCACAAATCAACGTGAAAAGAGAACAGTTGCTTCTTGATAACGTAGAGGGTGGGAAATGATGTTTATCGATCAGCAACTTGCAAAAATTTTTGGTACAAACATGCAAACCTGTTTATGCGCATGACAAACAGTTGTTTAAGAAGGCGGCTAGAAAGCTTGCAAAGGCTTGAATATGGCTGCCCATTTCCCCTCCAAGTAGGTGGAAAAGTATATATCTTGATGTTGCAGAAACCAAAAGATGACAACGCACATCGACAGGTTAGGAACCATTAAAGAGAACATTTTGCTTGTCGAAGAGGACTTTCAATGGTATGTTTAACTTTTTTCTAACCAAGTGGTAGGAAAAAATCTAAAATGATACGAATTAAGTGTAATTTCATATGTTGGAAGGGCTTCATGACATGATAGGAAATAAACAGTGTTATTTTGCGTCCACTTTCAATTCTTTTATGAGCACACCTGTGAACCAAGAACACAGGCAAATGTTCTGTGAGGCTAATGTTAAGAGAAATAACAGAATGAAAATTTGCTGTGGGTGATTGCAGTACACATGATGTCTTGCTAAAATGAGGTGTAATATAATCCGAAAAAAACTGTTTACAATGCATACTCTGAGGTCCCTTCACTTGGCTCTATTCTGGAATCAATGTTGATATATATTGTCCGCCACCACTCCAAAAATGGAGGTTTTTGAGTCAAATATGTCTAGTTGTCTAGTTTAGAAGTTTATCTAACCAAAACCAACTAGGGAACCATGGAGGTAGGTACAGTTTCAAACACTAAACCGAACAGACGTCTAAGAGATTTTGGCGGACTCTGTGACACTTCACAGGAATCAAAGTGCCAACAGGAGATGCTAAAGTTATAGTAAGTGCGGATAAGCCTTTTGCTATCTCATATTTAAAAGAAACGAAAGGTTATGCTGAAATGCCACTACAACTTCAGCATGAAATCACTTGCCTGATCCAGCACTGTGCAGTCGATCAGACTGATTGAAGCTGGACATCTCAGTTAATATTGTTAAGGCAGGTGAATTTCAGTTGATTCTGTAAAATTATTACTCAATTTACATTTGTGGAAACCTTTGTGCTAAATGAATGACTTAACCTTGAAATAAGACTATGTAGGAAGAGTTTCACACATTGACTTTGCTTGGACATTGGGATAACCTAGAATAGCACAGTACAGACACATCTAAACCTCTCATATTATTCAAACCTCAAATTACTTGTTAAGCAAGTTGGGCTCACATCAATATAACCAACTTAAGTACCGCAGAACTGCCTTCTTGGAGTATATCATTTTAACTACTGGGATAGAAACAAGGAAGGATTGCTAGTTCAATGAAGCCTAAAAAGGGTACTTGGTGCTTGGGAGTTATAAATTACGCTGACAGCCATTACATTATCACTTGGGGAGGGGCAAAGTCTTATATTTCAACCGAGAGACAGGTTGTGCAGAAAGAGATGGTGTCCTGTCTCATTTTGTGGTTTTAGATATCAAGGTCAGAAATTTATGAGATGCAAATGCGGTCGTAAGTTTTCTGCGCCCATCTCTGGATCTTTTCTCGATTTTGATGTCCTGCAAAAGGCAACTCACTGCAGAATAAAAATTATTCCTTGAAGGGGCCGTTGGAGGGCATGATTTATTAATATTGGAGAGGCAGGAAGGGGAAAGTCGACTGTGATAACTGAGATCTGTGGATAATTCAAAGAGAAAAACTTTTAGGCTGTTTGCTCTACTGGAATTACGTGTGTAGTGCCCAAAAAAATACCTTCCCAGGAAGTCCGAAACAAGTGACACTCGATTCTTTTTTGAGACTTTCCATGAAGGACATTTCTATGAAGTTGTAATCACGGCATGTCATAATGATAAAGTTTGCATGAGGCTTCGGCAAGATGTTGGTATCTTGTTTAATGAGTGCTCCAACGGAAGTGCGAGACTGCTAGAACGTTTTCATGCTATAACCCCCCTTCTGAGGTGAGAAAATGGGACAGGCCGTTTGGAGGTGTTCTAGTCATTGATGTGGGGGACGTTCTGTAGCTGAAACCTGTTTAAGACAATTTTGACGATAGTACCATGCTTTACCAAAGCATTTCCGCACACCATAGAGCAAACCATAATTCACAGGTTGAAGGGGCTTTAACAAAGCTTTAAATAATGCTCCGACTAAGAAACATGGCAGAAACAATAGGCCTGCGGCAACAGAGACCATTGCTGTCTGGCGCAAGGAAAAGTCATCATTGAATTAATTTGAGCTCTTTCATTGGATAAATATACCGCAAAATTCAATCTTTGCACCGCCCACAAAAACTGCTTCCAATGCCATTCTTTGCGTTTTCTTTTCCAGATTGAGAAAAGGGGACAGATTATAAAGCAGCTGAAGGATAACTGAGGAGGAATACCAAGCGAGATTCTAGAACCACGATTAATCAAGCAGTTTCTCATTGAAGAGAACAACAGCTATGAAGATCTTGTAGAGGAAATTCAGAATTAGTTCGCTGGTGCAAGAGGCTGTAGTTTCCGAAGTATGGAGATTCTGCAGTTAGCACAGAATCAAGAAGCAAGTGCCAGTGTCCGACGAGACACTCGATCATGTCCTGCAATTTTAGAGGTACAGCCAACGTAATTGCTTTCGTGATCTCAATTTTACTCATTACTGTCGATTATACTCTTGTATATAGCCTATTATATTGCTCACGCCAGAGACTGAATGCAAACATTTAAATATTTAAAGAGGAATGACGATGACCTAATTTTAGTCCTTTTGATATGATCTACTCAATATCGCAGGGGTACTTATCAATTAATTTCTCTTTAGTTATCAACGTATATGGTAGTACCCCCGGGCCTTGGGGATTATTCCCGCTGTCAAGACGATTGACTTGCCTTATCCGGGCTGGCAATACCTCCTTGACGTGTCCATCACTGTTACCATGACAAAACACTATTAATGATTAACAATAATCGCAAAAAATTTGATTGACACTTTTAATCCTTTCATATATTAGGTTCATTAGCTTTCAGTTCAGTTTGTTACACGTGTTTCACTACAAGTACACGCAGTCTTCAGTTTGCTAACCAGTTTTAATGAGTTATACTAAGATCAGAGTCCAATGTTAATGGGAAACCGGCGACAGAAGTAAGGATTAATTAGTTTTACTTTGTACTGTTGTTTCGTTACTCACTTTTTATAATCAGTGTTGTAAATACTCAAATGTTGCGCAATTATATTACATAATTGTATGTTTTAGATCGAATAATTCCCACAAATAAAACTGCATTGTTGATTATACGATTGATGGTTTCCCTGCGTTAACATCTGTATTGTGTCGATTGTCAAATGGTCCAATCACAATAGGAACTTAAGATAGAGACGTTTTCGGGGCGATGGCGACACGAATTTCCCTTTCGTAAACGGTCGTTGCCATTTGAAACGGTCGATGCCATTTCTCAGAACGGTCGTTGCCATGTGAAACGGTCGATGCCATTTCTCAGAATGGTCGTTGCCATTTAAAACGGTCGATGCCATTTCTCAGAACGGTCGTTGCCATTTGAAACGGTCGTTGCCATTTAAAACGGTCGATGCCATTTCTCAGAACGGTCGTTGCCATTTGAAACGGTCGATGCCATTTCTCATGACGGTCGATGCCATCGTAAAGGTCGATGCCAAGAAGGAACCGATATTTCCGACTCTCTCCGACGACATGCGTGACAATCAGAGCAATGCGTGACTAGCTTTCCTACAAACCATCGCGATTTTTATCAAATCAAAATGGCGGACAAACCCGACAATTTTCTCAAAGATCTAATATCTTCAGCTATAAAAGAAGTCGAATCGAAAAGTAAATCTTTTGAATCGACCGAAATTACAAAGGAGAGTTTTCTGGCTTCGCTTCCAGATGATTCATTTTACTACCTGAAGGCAATTTCAGGAAATGGAGAAAAGTTCAAAGTGCACTTTTTGACCGAAGATATAATGAAAGAAAACCTGGAGCAGTGGATATCCGAATATGAAGTGATAAACAGCATCTCAGTGAAGTTAAAGACAAAGAAGGCACCAACAAGCGGCTATGTGATGCAAAACTACTATAGATGCCAACACAACACTCGCAACTGGAGTCCAAGTAAAGATCCACAGCAGAAATTGTACTTGAACCCATCTGCCAGAGTAAAGAACACCAATTGCCCCTTTCAGATGATAGTCAAAATAGACAGCGAGGGATGTTGTTCTGTGGACATAGAGTGGGAACACAACCATTCACTTGAAACTCTGGAGGCCTCTAATTTCCGTGACCTTTCTCCTGAGTGCACAGAAAGGGTTTTGAAGTTGTTTGAAAGTGGGCATACACCAGCAACCGCAAGGCAACAGCACTTGAAAGAACTCAAAGAATCATGTCAGGATGAATTGGAATTTCACAGGAAAAAGGCCAATCGGGCAGTTATGCCGAGAAAAAGGGACTTTAGTTACCTCTACACGCAATTTGGTAAGGATAGGTATGGTGGACAGGGCGTTATGATGTTTGAAAGACTTTCCGAAAGGCTTCAACAATACAAGAAAGACAACCCTGAAGCTACTACTTGTTACCAGATGTATGAAGGTGATGATACGCCTCTTATAATTGCTATTGTAACGCCTCTCATGAACCGTGTACACAAGGAAGTGCAGCAGTCTGGTGAGATGGTTTTTGTTGATGCTACTTCTAATACAGAAGAGCACAATCTTAAAGTGTTTTTAATGTGCACAAACAATGTATCTGGAGCACTTCCACTTGGCATCTTGATCACCAGTGATGAGCAGGAGCGTACACTTAAACAGGGCTTTGAAATGCTTCGGTCCTGTTTACCAGAGTATACATTCAATGGTCGTGGTCGGGAACAAGGCCCCCAAGTCATCCTAACAGACAACTGTAAAGAGGAAAGAAATGCTCTGAAGTCTGTTTGGCCAACATCTGTTTTACTTCTTTGCATCTTTCACATGCTCCAACAACTTTGGAGATGGCTTCACGAGAGAAATACCCAAATCTAGTCAGCTATTTGCAAAATCTATACAATGACAAAGAATCGTTTGCTCTATGCTTTAGAACTGAACTGCCTGTTAGAGGGAACCACACCAACAATTTTGCCGAGGCTCAGTTTTTGGTTCTTAAGGATGTAATTCTGCAGCGCACCAAAGAGTACAATGTTGTTGGGCTTCTAGACAAGCTGACTATTAATCTAGAAGATCACTACAAGAATAAGCTCCTTAGTATTGCTGATGGGAGTTTTGATGGCGTGTACAGACATCGATTCTTTGGGAAAGGGAAAGACGGAAGCACAGGGTTTCAAGTCCCAGATAAAAAAGATCTTGATGCCTACATCTCATCTGTAGAGAACTTTGGCAATAATGTATTCAAAGTTGGAAGCTCTTCAGATAGCAGTCACAGGTCAGTAGTTGTTTTTTCTTCGCCGTCGCAATAGCATAACGCTCTGGTGGTACAAGAGGGCATGTGTGGGTGTTCATTATTTTCCTATCTTTCCCCCATTGTCTGATTCAAATTATCTTGATAGGGGAAGCAGGGGGGGGAGGGGGCAGTGTTTCTAGGCTCCTCCCCTTTGGAGCAAAAATACATAAAACATGGGGACATAACATGCATAACATATGAGATAATTCCTGCAGTTCATCCATATGCTGCATTTCAGGGATGTTGATTTAGCATGAGGAAGACCAAAACATGACTAATATATTGTCCAGGGGGTGGGGTACCTTTAGTAATTTCCCTTCTTGGCAGGGTTATTGAGTTTTTTATAGCAGAGTAAGAGCAAGCCCTTACTCTGCTGTTAGGAATATTTCCATTAATATCTTAGTGGATCAACCAGTTGAAGGTCTAGAATGTATCTATTACAGATTGAAAAACAAAAATTCCAGTTGTATTGAGATATTTATGAAGTGTCTCATTGGTTCTTTGTCAGTTATACAGTGGACATGACTCTTGGGATATGTAGCTGCACGGTTAGTAAAGACGGGAGCCCATGCAAACACCAGTATGTCCTGTGGGTGGCAAATCTAGCAGACTGCATAAACTTCATTCCAGTCAGTAATCCACATGAGAGGCAGAAATTGGCCTGGCTAGCAATAGGAAAGACACTTCCTGTTGCTTGTTATAAGCCATTACGCTCTAGTGATGCTGGACAAACATCACAAACTGATAGTTCTAATGGTTTTGTAACAGAGGCATCCACTAGTATGGAAACGGCACAACAACGGCCAAACTGCTGCACTGCTGAACCAATACAGAGCAATGATGATGATGAGGATGATTCCATTGCAAATGCTGAACAATTGTTGAGAAACTCTTGTGAACAAATAATTCAAAAGCTCCAAAGCTCAAGAGACCTTAATTTGGCTAAAGGTGTAATCAGGTTCGCAAAAAGGGTAACATCCTTAACCGCTGCTAGATCTATGCATTCTAATTTGGCAAGCGCTCTTTTTACTTTTGGGTCCAGTGAGGTGAAAAAAACCGGAAATGGAAAAAAGATCCGAGTCCAGCCCAACAGAAAACGAAAGTGTGGTAGTGGAAGCCGTCAGATTGTATCAAAAGGGCGACCAGTACAACTTCAACAACCCACCTCCAAGAGGAAGCGCAGCCATGACTTGGCTAAAGCAATACAAACAAACACTAAAAGTAGTAAGAAGTCTGTGTCCCATACTATGAAATCCAAGACAAAGCACACGCAAAGGAAAAAATAGGAAAACAGAGAAATCTTAGTGAATAAACAATGGAATGTTCGCATAATGTTTAACATAGAGGGAAATTCAATTAAGGCAAATTGCCTAGATTAAAAACCTCTCTCCTTGGATCTGCCCCTGAACAACAAGGTTATTAAAAAGATTGAGGTTTTGACATTGTAAATAAGTTTTAATTCATTTTTCCTGTTAAAGTCCAACACAACATTTGTAATGATTTCAAATTTGGTTTGAACAGTAACATGATGTACATGTGCTGCAATGACCACAATTAATTTCAAAAATCGATAATAATAATAATAATTTAAAAACAAAAACAATTATGTATTATAGATTGATCCAATAGTCCTTTCAAATCATCTCCAATTAAAATCACTAAATGCAGGATAGGTTAACTAAACATGTGACTTTTGGTGTCTTATAAGATTTCGTTTCTCAGCAAAAGTCTTTTGACAATGATCACACTTGTAGCTGTCTTTATGTTTCTTGTCTTTATGCCTTTTTAGCTTTTGCTCATGGTCAAACGATTCATTGCATTCCTCGCAAATGCACTCATGACAACCTTTCTGGTGGTATTTAAAGTCCTTCTCCCTTGTGAACTGGGTGCTGCAGGTTGGACATTTTTTTATCTCTGCTATTCCCATATCAAGGTCTTCCCTCAAGCTCTGTGCTTTATCTTTCCAGTCCTATGAAGATCATAGCATGATATTTTAAAAGGGGGTAAATATATTAGGGAACAATCGTGTATTTATGATCCCCCCTATTTTTATATGAACTAGATTGCAAAGACAGTTTTTTTTCACCCTCTATCATAATTTTTTGAGGATAATACCCCCTTCCCCCCTTTCCTCAAAACCTGCATCCGCCACATGTAGGTTATTTCTAATTAAAATTTAGGGTAAATTAATTGGTACATTATAATGGGCCATGCTATCCCCTAGGTATATTTTAGAGATCTCTCTGGAAAAATAACAAGTCTGAACATTATATTACAAAATTGACATTCAGCTTGAGGTCCCAGCTTGATTCAAGATCAACATTCATAACCTAAAATACTTTTAATTGGAAAGTTTGACGAGAACATTTACACTCTCGGTCCTTACAAAGTTAGCCATGTAAACCACATAGCAGTCCACTGAAATGGGGCAGGGTTAATACACAAACACGCGCAATGTTAGAAGTTTATAACTAACCTTTTGTCTGTCTGTCGGCAATTTCTTGCCAACCACATATTGCCAACCACTTTCCAAGTTGTTCCTTGACCTGGCTGTGGATTCCTGCCCCTTTCCAAGTTGTTCCTTGACATCTGGCTGTGGAATGATACAAAGAACGAGGCCGTAGCAAAAACTATATCAGCTTATATCGCAAAATGTAATTAAAAACAAAGAAAAAGGCCTACTAAAAGAATAACGAAATTAAAAAATATAAGATCTGCAACTATTCCTTCCATTTTATAGAATAAAATAACTAATATTTGTTTGAGCAAAATGACATAAACGAAATGTTTTTACATGCGGTTTATTGCGCTTATTTTCGTGGAAAAGTTGAGGTTAAATTTCACTTTGATTAAACAAAAAATGACTTAATCTGAAAGCCAAAATACAAAAATGGAAAAGGACAGTTTACATTGAACATCAGAGGATGTCAACTGGATGAACAATTCTTTTTCAATTTTTAAATCCAGGCTAGTAATTTGAAAAATGATTGAATGGGTCAGATGAACCTGATGAATGTAAATACTGAAGGGAAGTAAAAACAAATGTTTTTGGTGTCACCGCAATTTGACTGCAAATCAAAGGATCACCTGTTCCTTGTTTGGCTTCTTATTTGATTTTTGTTTTTTCAACAAGGGCCTTATGTAATAAGACTTGCACCACGGGCAACACTTATAGATAACATATTTGTTAATGACATAAACGAAAATTTTTTACATAAACGAAAATTTTATATGCGGTTTATTTTTCACTGATATTTCTGATGACTTAATCTTAATCACTTGTAATCGGATGTAAAGGATGAACAAGCACTTTATCCAGGCTGAAAATGATTGAATATTTCGGGAAATACAAAACAAACTCACCGCAACTGACTGCATAAAGGAGTTCCACCCGTTGACTTCTTAATTGATTTTTTGTTTTGTTTCTGCACAAGAAGAATGGGTTGGTTCTGGTTCAGCTGGCTCAACTCTCGCGCACGTGGATTGCTCCGCCATCTTGTAAACAACACTGCCAGGAAGTGACGTCCGAGCGTGCCAACCGCGTACGAGCTATTCACGCGGGCTGTCGTCTGCTCGGCTAGTTTTCGAAATGGCATCGAGCGTTTCAAATGGCAACGACCGTTCTGAGAAATGGCATCGACCGTTTCAAATGGCAACGACCGTTTACGAAAGGGAAATTTGCGATGGCGACCAGACTGGCAGAACAAGCGTAGAACTGATGCAGCTGTCAACATGGATGAAGCTGAGTGCAAGGCAGAATTTTGCGTTGAAAAAGACGATCTCCACAGGCTCGCTGAAGCCTTGCAAATTCCAGGAACATTGAAATCCTACCAAGGAACTGTATACAGTGAAATGGAGGGATTATGAATGCTCTTGAAATGACTGGTCTACCCCTGTCGTTTCAATGATATTATTTTGCGTTTTGGAAGGCTCGTTCCTGAGCAATGCAAGATAACAAACCGATTAATGGATTTTATCTACATCACCCATCACCACCACATCACTCAGTGGAATCCAGCTGTGCTAAATCCTGGATTTCCTGAACAGTACTCTGCTGCCATCGTAGGTAAAGGTACCGCCCTAGCCAACTGCTTTGGGTTTGTTGATGGCACAGTGCATCCTATCTCCAAACCAGGTGAGCAGTAGAGGATTGTATATAATGGGCATAAAAGAGTCCACGCCTTAAAATTTCAGTTGGATGCTGTACCCAATAGGCTCATTGCAAATATGTATGGTCCAGTGGGTATGTTCCTTTAATAAAATATATAACTAGTCCGTATAAAGTACTCATTTTAAAGCCTGGAGATTCTTCAGTATTTCTTTGTTTTTCAGAAGGTAAGAGGCACGATTCAGACACGTTAGCTGATTCTGAGCTTCTTCAGGATCGAGAGGCTTATGCGTTTTCACCAGCAGGCTTACCAATGTGTATATAGGGTGATCCAGCTTATCCACTTAGAGTCCACCTACAAGGCCCGTTCCGAAACCCTCATCTCACCCCTCTAATGAAGTGGCTCTTTGGAGATGTAATAAACTATTTCAAGTTATTGGATTTTAAAAAGAATGTAAAAATTGGAATGAGAAGCATCAGCAAAATTTATAGTCTGTCCACTGCTGCACAATGCCCACACCAGCTCTATGGCAATAAGACCTATCGTTTTTCAAGCTTGAACCCCCCACCCTCCAGGAATACTTTGGTCAGAGGTAGAAAAAAATAGGGGCCCTCTAATAAGACGGTTTTAAATTTGTCCGACTGTTCCTGTGATTACCATTGACCTGTTATAGTACTGTTATAAACAAAGAAAACACGTAGCTTCTTAAAATTTTCTGTCCTTGATCTTGAATCTACACCAAGAGTTATTCATGCAGACCTTTTCTGCAGTCGTAAAATTCCCTGGAGATCATTGTTAGACCAAGAGGTGCACACCATGCTCCCATACATTATTGTTGGTTTAATTAGGACATTGTAGAAAAATTCTCTTTCTCTAATTGGTAGGTAGGAACGCATTTTGTTCAAAAGGCCAATTTTGGGGCTAATTTTCTTACAAAGTTAATCAACATGTTCTTTAAAAGTAAGTTCTCCGTTAACTGCAACCCCAGGCAGCTTCTGGTACAGTCTTCACACAAACCGTTCCTTTTTTCAAGACGACTCCACAAGCTCTTGAAAGGAATCACGTTCCTCATTTACATGACAGCCTTCTCGTCTTTATTTCTCAATATCTTACAATGGTGACTAGTTTTTGGCAACCTAAGGAGGGGATGAAGGCACCCTGTATAACACAGGATAAACAGGGGGTCAACTTTATTTGCCAAACCTTCAGAATTTAACCTGCATACACATTGATTAATTTTCCATCCACCAAATCCAATAATGCTGAAGAACAAATTGTTCATTACTGTTAACTGTAGACAATGGTCAGATCCATTAACTTAGTTACCGGTAAATTTCAAATAAAAAGTCTCAATCGCATTCCTCTCAACCCTAAAAGTTATGGCATTTTTCAAAAGATAGACGCAATCTACAAGAAAAACTTGTCTATCCATCCTCCACATGTTATTGACAGCATCAAGAAAAGCGTGAATCCGATCTGTCAGAAGAAGAAACTACAAGCTTTGAAGGAAGTGGTGAGCAATTTTCATTGACTTGCAAGAAAAGCACCATGAAATCAAGGAGGTTCAAAGAAATAGTACTAGTAGTGGAATTTTTCAACCCACTGTCCTTCTCTAATCTAATCCTCCAGTTTTGAGGCTGTGCTTAGCTTAGTGTAGGTCCCTGCCATGCATGGAAAAAACAAAACTGGGAAATTAAGGTGAGAATGCAAATCCCCATGCCACATGATAATTGTAGTTAAATTAATTCCAAACGCACCTGTTCTGAAATATTCATGAAATGTATTATATTCGGATTACATAACTTGTATAAGAACACAAGGTGTTAAGGTCTTACATCTGGCTTAAAGGTAAAAAAAATTGCCTTTATTTTGCATCATATGAAAGATCAAGCATAACACTAATGAACTCCAAAAGGTGAGATTCTTCCTTGCGCTACTTTTGAAGAAATTGAAGGGTAAATTTTGTTTTCAAGGGCGCCATTTTGCAACCCCATATTGGAGTTGCAGGCTCATAATCACGCATCGGTAACTGTCCGCATGCGCGTTGAATTTCTGTTTGAGTGCTTCATCATGATATCTTGCGCGCTGATCTAGCAGACTTTACAGTATATTGGAACCCATAAGGTAAGCCATGTTCATCTTTTTGTAAGTTCTCTCATTAAGCTTCTTATGATCCAAACATTCGTGTTTTCCAAAATAGATCATGGAAAGTAATGCAGAAGCCATCGAACTCTATCAAACCTTTTGTGTAAACGCGGTCGTCTCTTGACTTCAGTTTATCCAAATAGTTTAGGAACTCGTTCTTCTTTTGTCTTCTTCTTTTGTTAATTAATTCAATACGCTTTCTTTTCTTTTTCAGCCTTGAGTTACCTGTAAACCTGAGAGACCTGCTGGTTAACACGAGATCTTTATCAGGGAAGACCCATGGGCCCAACAAAGAACTCTGATTGTTTATTTACAGGGAAATGTTTACGTTTTTGGCGGTAAAAAATCTCGAAACAATGCCTTTAAAATGGGGTCTGGTTTTCTTTGGAATCCATGATTTCATTTATAACTTTTTGCGGTCGGATTTAAATCAACAGCAAGATAACGCATTCGGTTGGGAACATAGAAGAGTATACTGAAGGTGTGAAATTTGCAACTGCATTCCACGTGCACTCCATTTGATCAACACTCCGTGCAGCTGCAAATCGCAAGAGAATGCCAAGTTTGTGGCTTTTCGATCCAATATTCTGCTTCCATGTTTTTCTCTCTTTTGACATTTTGATCGCACAAATGTTTTACACTGAGAATCTCCAATAAGTAGGCTTATCTATTGTTCATCTCCGTCGACCTTAGTCAGTTTTGAAATGGGCTTATCCTTTTGCTATAAACCGTTCTTTTTTCTACTATGGAGCAGACTAGTGTAATCAAGTCCTTGCGCTACTTAGTAGCCCACCACTGTCCTCACTCTAAGAAGTAGGGTCTATATCTTCATGAGTTTATGTTAAGACTGAAGCTGATCACTGCAGTAATGAAAATCTTTAGATTAGTAACCAATCCTAAACACTTCTACACAAATACCTAACACCTAGCACATTGAAATGTATATTTCTCTTCCTTTTTTAGCATCAAAATGGCAGAGGGTGGGTCATCCCTCATACATCACCCCAAAATAGTTGACACTATTCGTCAACTATATCCTGGGGATACAAAAAATTATACACCCAAGAGTAACAAGGTAACAAAAATAATTCAGCTTATGCCAAGAAACTTAAGTAAAATGTTACGACTGTTTCTGTCATAGAGAAAGAGCATTTACGAAGTAACACTGGAGGAACTCATAAAAGTTTACAAGGAGGCTAATCTGAGGGATGGCTTACAGGTAAGCACTTTTTCTATAGGTGGAATGTTAAGCAAACCACTTTTGGCTTACTAAACCTATATAGTATATAAACCTTGCAATGGTTTCAACGAACTGGTAATTCCACTGATGAAGGGCCAGGCCCGAAACATTTGGAAAGGATAATTTCAACCTAAACACGGCACTTTTGTTCACGATTTCTTTATTTTTAATGAACATTTTGTTACTTCTAAACCTATCGCATTCGCGGAAAACGGCTCAGTATTCTGTGAGATAAGGCTTAATGCGTTATTGACCCAAATCCGTTTGGGGCCATGGATCTGGTAGTTCATCCAGAAGAAAAGATGAGCAAGGCAGGAATGGCCATTACTTGACTGCATTTTTTACAGCAAGAGTAATATTACTAATATCTCTTTAATAGAAGAGACAATCAAAATGGAAGATGTAAAATGTACATTAGTCCTATATTTTAATGACATGACTACCCTAAAAAGAGTCCCAACCCTCCTTGAGCAGGACTGCATCTTATCTCCCTATTTTTTGTCACCATTTCCTTGCGTTCATTTTCTCTCTTTTTTTTACCGCAAGAACAAGAGGCCCTAGCTCACCAGCAGCCAAGAAACAAAACAAAAAAAAGAATTAAAAAAAATTAGGGTAGCCACTTCCATCTGATTTCAAATAAATGATTTTAATATCCATTTTGGTTTTTTTTAAATAAAATAAGCTAACATGCACAATTTATTGTGAAAGTAGTCTCAAAAACAACTCTCTTTGGAGATTTCATAAAAGTGGACATAGGAGTCCAGGAAAAAAAGGATTTTTTCGTGCTGTTTTCTACTAAGAAAATGCGACACATAAATACAATTTTCCACAGTTTAATGAAGGTCTTGTTTGATGAGTAATAGTGGGGACTAGACAATATTGTAAGTTCATATCCTATATGTTAATAATTACTGACAACTGTGACTGACCATACACACCCAACTGGGAACAAGACATTAAAATTACATTAAAGTCACCCACATGGATTCTCCCACCCCTTGATTAGTACATGAATTTCAGTGTAGAGTGAACTACTGGTACTCAAGAGAGGCACAAACTGTTCAAATTAGCATGGCTTTAAGTTTACTGCGGCCATAAAATTTTCTGAAATCTAAACCAAACGCAATCCTTAGTGACTTCACATTATCAAAGTTACACTTATAATATCTAGAGATGCAGTAAAGACATGAAAAGCATTGATCCCAATTTTTGATTATTTGAATTTGCTGGAGGTCATGGTCTAAATTTTGTTTGCCGTTGTGTCTGGTGTTTGTTAAGGAAATCAGTATGGGTAGTAACAGGTGGACCATTGACATATAAGGATGGCATGTTCTCATCTGTCTTCTGAGATTTTCGCCTTTCATACAAACCCTTCAATTCAAAATCAGATTTTGCTAACCGCATTCCCCTGTCCTTAATCAGTTTTATTTTAGAGGGCCCTCATCGCAGCCACCACCAGCACCTCCATAATCGTTCTCGTCATCACTACTAACCTCCTTAATAATGTTATGTATGCATACTTCTTTCTCTGCTACTTCTGACAAGTATGCTGCGCGCGACTGTTCAGGTACTTGAAATTCGTCATTCGATAACCTAAGGTTAGGCAGCTGGCTAGCAAAGTCAACAAGAATTGATCAAACACTTCTTGCGAATATCTTCCTTCCCAAACTGTGACTCTAACAAACTAAACTACAAAAGCTGACCACTTCCACACAACCTCTCGAAGAATATCCAGTAGGACAACAGAATTCACATCTAGACAAGGCAAACCTTTTTATACCGCTACTGCTACCAGTTGATGGCCTGTCATTTCTAAACTGGGTAGGAGAGTGATGTCTCAGTGCATTGGTTTACATGGTTTTCATCTGGCTATAATGATGGTTCTTCCAAACATGTTTGTGCAATATCCAGCGGTCTTTTGTTATTTACTTCACCTGGTATCATTTCCTTATCTTTTTCATCTTTGGAACACTCAGATTCTGACCTACTGCTTGCCAAATAGGCATCTAGAGTACGACCAATAGATTGCAAGTACACCTTTCGCTAAGCGTTTGCAAAGTACAAATGCTTGCTCTTGATGGCACTTTTTTTTTGCTGTCACAGATACCACCTTCACAACTCTTTTTTTTTGGCTAGACATGAAAATTCACTTTTCTGAACAGATTTACAGATTAGAGATTTTACTGTTTTTACACTGTTTACACATTGGTTACATTGGAATTTTAATTTATGTAAGTTCCTGTACTTGCTCACAAATCGAGCTTTTGAGTGCATAGCGCTACAGTGAGCGTGAAGCGCGATCGTACGAGCACCGAGCGTGAAGCGCGAGCAAAAGCTCTACTTGTTTCCCTTGCAGAGAATCACATCAAGTGACATCATTTTGGCGCGAGCTTCTCAGGATGCTGCATGCGGCGCTGCCTGTCAAACTGTCTAAATACTTTTCGCACCTCGCGAAATCGATCGATGGTTTGGTAATGGAATGGAGGAGGAAAATACACCAAAACTTTTATTCAGGTTGCTGTGCCAGAAAACATTTGATTACAATGTGGCAAACTGGTAAACAATTCAGCGTTACGGAGAAAGTTATTTTCAGGGAAACAGAAGACAAAAACTTGTCAAAGTCTGGAGCTTCTTCTAGGAGATGTGTTTCCGCGAGACAACGAATTGGGAACTATTTGCCGAAACTGCTTGGAACACAACGAAACGGTTACAAAGAAAATTTTTCAAGTTAGGGCTAACTTTTCTGGACCAAAAGGAAATATAGGAAACAATTTGCAAAGCTCTGTCGTAGTAAAGCGCTCGACAAAAGTTGAAAGAGCTGAGGTACCCGAACAAGGTGCGATTGGGCGAAGAGCTTCGACAAAGAAGAGCTTTATTTGCAAGTGAGGCAGATTTAGCTTTGTTGACGGTAGATGAAGTGACCAATGCTGACCCAGAGCCAAAACCTCTTCTCAAGACAAGAGATGCCCGTACGCAGACGAAGCCTCAACTCGCAAATACTGAAGAAAAGAGTTCATCGGTGGACGTAAGTAATTTTCTCGCCTTTGAAATTTTTCACGACTGTGTAGTTCGGCCGGATCTCGCATTAGCTAATCAAAATGATTCAAAAGACTTCGGGTAGACTTTCTCAAAGTCGTTCACACGGTTTTCTGGTCTGGTGTGGTAGGACCCTACACGCTCAAAAGCTCTACTTGTGAGCAAGTCTATTAGCCGGGCGATGGTCACGTTAGTTATTATTTTTGTTTTGTCATTCAGCCAAATTTACCTCCAAACTTCAAGACATACACACATTGTCTTACATAAAAATATGAAAATCTTCCTTTGATATAGCAGCACTATACTCTGTGTTAGTAAGTAAATCCTTTTTTATAAAGAATCAAGGCTGACGTTTTTTTATGGAGTCCATTTTTTTTTATTCCGAGCTTATTATGTCATTTATGGAGATGTAAGCAAGCTAAAGAGCAAAGCAACATAAACAAACCTTTACCTCATTATATTAATTTACCTTTTACTGTAGACTTATAAAAGATCAACTATTGATCTGTTGCTTTAAAAGACTAACGAGTTTTAATTAATTAAACTTCTTATATTTTCACACTCAGATTGTCATCAATTTCCCTAACCACCTTCCTCGGAAGGTACATCTGAAGGAAGATTTGTATACCACTGGTAGGCAACTGGCCACTGGAACTTTCAAGTCTGTTGCTGCTACCCTAATGAAGCACCAAGGCATGAGGGATGCACTGTATGGAGAAGCATGTGATGGTGTCAACAAAGAAATACAAGATTTATGCTGCATAGGAGAACCTTCACTGCTAAGAGCCACAAGCGCTGAAGATTTGGCTTGCATAACATGGGAGAAGATTAATAATGAACTTAAGGACAGAGCCCCTAGATTCCACCAGTTCTTGAAGAAAGTTGGATTCCAAAGATTGTCATCTTTATACCATAGCATGGGGTACAAAGCCACGAACACGATGTTTGAGAAGTTTGGAAAAGACTTTGATAAAGATTTGAAAGTCTGGAAAGAAACAGTGGAGAAAGATTCAAAAAAGGAGAGGAGCCTCATTGAGAAAGAAATGAAGAACACACTCAAGCCAAAGCTGAGTTGCAGAACCATAGGCATGCACCCTGGGTACTCCTTCACTGGGGACAATGTGGATATAAGGTGCAAACCCCGACAAATGACAATGAAGAACCGAAACAAAGATCACCACATGTTTCAGTTGGTGGCATTTCAAAACAGTGTCTCCGAATCATCTGCCAAATGATGCACCCAAGAGTGATGTCATGAAAGAGCCATTTACAACATTCCTACCAAGTGTGGATGAGCAGGCTCAACTTGTTGAAGAATTGGTCATTCTTGTTGGGCAGAAGTGGGCATTAATTATCCCAGCACTTGCATGGTTTCAATGACCATCTCCCAGCAAGGATACATCATGAACACATGGAACAAATGAAGACAAAGACTAGAAAGGTATCTTTTAATTCCTGTACATGATCAATCAAATATTTGTTTCAGAAAATGTATTAAATGTCCCCCTCAGGGCATTTATTATGTCTTTTGTTTTAAACTACGGGAAGAAGGGCACAACACCAGCTTAAGTGTAGGCATGTGTTGTGAAACTTGTCTGATCAGAACCTTATGGACAACTCTACTTGGCTCTGAAAATTACAAGATAAGAACTGAATACTTGCATCTTCTACAACAGGTTCATCTTTATGTATTAGGCAAAAACGAGCACTCTGAAGAAGACATAATTGATATTCTTCAACGGCTTTATCCCTATGTACCTGGTCATTCTGATACTGATGATGCCAACAAGAAGCGAATAAAAGTACTGAGTGGAGGTGACTACCTGACTTTCGAACGACATAAAGAAGCTCAGTCAGCAATGCAGGATGCAAGAACACCCTCTACAAGGCTAGTAGGGTTAATCCCAAAGACAGAAGATTTCCACACTCAAGCTGAGTGGGTAAAAGTTAGTGGAGATGTTAAGTAGCTATTTATTTCAATGAAACAAAATCAAGCAGATTATTAATGCAACATTAACTTTTGAAACCCCCCTTCTCTACCTAAATATCAGTTATTGACTTTTAATTGCAGCAACCTTTGGGGTGGGGCTCACAAGAAAGGAGATTCCACCATAATTTGAGCCCACAAAGCCTGAAGTTCTCATTCTAGCTGCCGAGGCTGTGAGTTGTCGCAGGGATTGTATCCAAAAAATAGGCACCCAGATCATTTCCTTTGGCACCCCAGCTTACCAGGCTCTTGGTAAGGAAAATGGTCAAAAGGTTCATCATAATGTTCATTTCCTGTGATTAGCACAGAATTGGAATCACAAAAATAAAATAACATGTTAAAAGGTCATCTGTAGTTTAGAATTATAACCAGTGGCGAATGAAAAAAATGAGAGAAGGGGGAGAGGTTGAGGCAAATCCTGTTGAAATTATTCATTAATTAATGAAAATAATTGCTTATTAATATTAGGTAATCTGGGACAATCTGTACAGCACAGCGTCAGCAAGAGACGCTGGTACACTCTATGCAGCAAGGAATGTGACAGTTGACCCTCTCAACAACTATTATGCAGCAGCTGATTTTCTAGATAAAGTCAATGATGCACATTTGATTGTTGGTGCTCTTGACCATTTTGGCATGGAAACAGTAGAAGACGAGCTAAAGAAGAATTTGTACAGTGGCATGCAAATTGATGTCAATGCAAAGAGGGAGTATGTCACCAAAACAATCAGGCAATTTGAGGAAAAGCATATGGTCAACCAGGTACCAGAACTGAGCCCTGAAGCCCCCACAAGCAATGATCTGCGATGCAGGGAATGTGGAAGACGATATTTGCGCCCGCATGCCCTAAGAAACCATGAGCGAGAAAAGCATGGCATTATTCCACCTAGAAACAGTACCAGCATCAGTCACGAAGGAGAAGACCACATCCACAACTATACACACCAACTATTAGTACTGTTGCTTCTAAGAGCTAACCGCAATGATGCAATTAAGCTAGGCGATGGAGAGCGTGTGATCAGATTGTACAAATATTTTGTTGTTTTTCAAGATTTCCAAATGCCCAAAATATGCCTTTGCAATGCTGCATCTCCAAGCACAAGTAAATTGTTTGCTGACTCCGAGGATGAGTTATTCTCTCATTTGGAACAGGTTCGTGAACCATCAAGGTGCAATTGACACAAACCACGCAATGGATCTAGACATTGAACATGACAACAAGAGCTTCAAGAATGATTGTCATTTCTATAGGGGCGAGATAACTGACAAGAGTATTGATAGAGAAAGCAGAAGCATGGAGAAATCAGATGCAATTCTCTATAATTTTGACAAGATCACTTCAGTGAAGAAGCCATCTGGACAACACACAAGAATGTCTATAGAAGAGGACATAATGCTTCTTGTTGAGCACATCAAACCAGATGTCTTTACAAAAACCCAGGGCGTCTCCACAAAGCATTTCCTGATATGAAGCGCAATTGCCTTGAACAGTTAGACATGGACAAACTGAAAGACTGGATAAGCAATTCACTTAAGAAATTTAACAAGAAGCACTTTTATAGAATTTAAATTTACAGTCATGTATTCTTGTAAGTCAACAAGTCTGAATAGATTATCACAGTTTTTACTTTCTGAGATCAACTTGTGGCATTTAACTCCCTCAGAAATATGTATATAGGCTATTGTTCAGAGAGGTGGGAACAGTGAACTACAATCAAAATTCATATTCTCATTTATTGCCCAATTCATTTACTATAGAAGTAGTGGAGATAATTCGTTAAAATATCAAGCAGTCATCTTGTGTGATCATGTCCTTAATTCTTGTGTCCACAGTTTCATAAAGCATCAATATTAAGAGGAGAAACTTGATAATGATCACTCTTAGGGCTTAAAGGGTTGAGAAATTTTCAAAACATAAGCTCTTTTAAAGAATTTTTATTTGCCTCAACAAGTTTTTATAGGGGCGGGGAGTGAAGATAGGCGGCTGTATTCGCAGGCTCGCATTAGCTTGCCCACATTGGCAAGTTTTACTCTCTTATAAATATGCACATAGGCCATTGAATGTCCAGGGCAAACCGAAAGACTGGATCAGTAATCCACTGAAGAAATTGTAGTAAGAAGCACTTATATCGAATTTAAATTTCCCCTGGTAAGATAAACAAGTTTGCATAGTTTCCCCATGTTGTGCTTTATGGGACAGACTTATGGGCACTATATTATCTTGTTTGCTATATATTTTCATTAAAATGTTGCATATAGTTAGCATGTATTTCATGATCAAGAAATTGTGATGTACATGTCTTGTTTTACATATTATGATCGATATGGCTAACAGATTGTCAAGAAGAAGTTTCATGTTTTGTTTTCTTTGTAAATAAGAGAGCATGAATGTTGTGGTTAAATTTTACCCTTGGAAAAAATTTTGTTTTCCTGTGCTTTTGGGTATGGTAATTAATGTGGTCAATGTACGACGAATTGGAAAAAAAGGAACAAAATTTAAACCAAGAATAATAGAAATGGACCACAACATGTATCGTCAGTTATATGTAATAAACAGATACATGTTCACGGTTGTAATAATTATCATAACAAGTTCCAGATTGAGATAGTTCTTTTCCCATTGTGCCGACAAAGGCATAGTGCATTAAACATGTTTAAATACTGGTCAACTGTAGTGTGTTCACTCATTGTAGGAATGTACAGTTTATTCTGAGAATGACAACAAAGTCTAATGTTTAGTCACTGGAGCTGCTGTATTCATCAGAACTACTGAATACCCGAAGTTTTCGTGTTCTTCTTCTCGCAATATCACTGCTGTCACTTTCGCCTTCACTTGAGCTACATGTATCAGACCCTTTTGATTCCCGAGAGTGAGCATAAGTCTCTCCGCTCAATTCAGATTCACTCTCAGACTCTGACATTGCCAGTACCTCGCATATTATTTGCCAAGTCTCTGTGGCATGTACTTCACTGAAGAAAGCAAACTTGTCCTTCAGGTCTAGTACACTGCGCACATCATGGATCTTGCTGACAATGCTGTCAACGAGCTTTCTAGAGTATCCAGTGGCTAAATTTATCCCTGTTAGTAATTTTTCATGCGCATGTTCTGTGCTAAATCTGCCCAGTAATTCATTAGCCGACAGCGTAAATGGGTCTGTCTTCGTTTTGACATTTCATTGCTGATTGCTGAGTCTGGTACTCTTTCTTCAGTGTCATTTAATGATTTGATGTGAGCTTCAACTTGTGATTGGTAGTCACTTAAAGAGCAGGAGTCTTGGCATATACACAGTTCCAGGCTGCATGTTCAAACACAACGGCACGATTTTGCTCATATGTCATAACAGGAGTGTTTGGTATCACTACTCTGAGGACTTGAGCAGAAAAGTTTGAGAAGCAGTTTGCGCCGACATTCTTCACTATTTTTAACATACTCTTTCATTCCCTTGCTTATTTTTCTGCTCTGTGTACAGCCTTTAAATCTTAATAGCACAGCATGGCTCATAGTGTCCGATGATCATCCAATTCTACCCGACTCTTGCAGATGATCATCAAGATCAGACTATGGCCCCAAATGAATTCCATTATAAGCACCTTCCACATTAACTCCTATACCAAAAGCTATTGTACAGAAAACAACCCGAACAGTACCATTTTCCTTGCAAAATTCGGTTTCAGTAGTTCCTTTTACCAGTTTGTCAGTTTTCTTGTGATACATGGTAAATAAACGTGTCCGATCATCTACTGGTTCTTGCCCAGTTGGTCTGTAATAGGCCTTTTGGCCAAGGCATCGACTGAATAGTTCAAAAAGTTCCTTGACATGCTCTTTTTTGCGACAGAACACAAGAACTTTGGTTGCATGAATCTGATTAATTTCAACATCCTTAATGATCACGCTAAAACTGCCATACAAGTTGGTTGAGTCAATATCCACTGCAGCATATCGGACATTTGTCTTGCTGGGATCTCCCAAGATCTTTAGACATCCATCCATCCCTAGATCCTTTATAATTGTCCTTCGAACAGTCTCCGTAGCCGTAGCAGTCAGGGTTATAAATGGTACATAGTGGTGAACCAAGGACCGCAGTTCTCCTAGTCTACTATAATCCTTTCTAAATGCTTCTTCAGATTTGGTTCCCATTCCCCTGCAATGTTAGCAAATTGTATAAACGTGGTATAAATAAACACAGTAGACTGAAACATCGGCACAATTTGTACCTGTATAAGTGTCAATGCCAGTACTATATTTTGGTCAACAAGTACTGCTACCATTGAAGTTTCTGGTTAGTTGATGAATCAGTCATAATCAATAAATTCAGGCAGTAGTAATCAATGTCAGTTAAAGTAAAAAATTTCTTCATTCAAATTATTATTCGAAAACCTGAGCAAACGACTCTGAGAAAGTCTAGAAATTATACTAAATGATTGTAACTCTGGTTTTTGAGCAAATAGGGATTTGCTACAAGATATAAATTATAATAATATATTAAGTCTGATTAATTATAAGCTTACTGTACTTCTGGTTAAGAGATTATGGTAACAGATATCTTCAAAAAAATAAACGTTGCATCTAAGAACGAGCCATAACACAATAGATGCTTTTGTTATTTTAAATAATACGGAAATTTTCAGGTGACCTTGTATTCTGTAGTCTTGCAAATGTACATTGCAAACAATAACAAATCAATCGCTCACCATTTTGCAATGCAGTGACTTTCATCGACAAAAACAGCCTTAAGGTTTTTCCTGAGTTTTCCATGAAAAATGCTTCGGTGGCTATACAAAAGAGCTTCGTGGCTTCCAAATACCAGCGAGTATTTTCCTTCCGAAATTTCTTTTACTTGTTCCCTCGTGCAGTCTGCTCCAACTGAAGCACCCGATATCCCTCGGCCAACTAAAGAGGCAACTTGGTCCTTCATAAGGGCGACCAGTGGCAAAACAACTAAGCAAACAGAACACACTTCCAGTCTTTCGCCGTGCTCTAAATAGTCGAAAACATAGGGAGCAACTTTAAAAGTCAAGCTTTTTCCTGATCCTGTTGGCGCTGAAAGAAATACGTCTTTTCCACTGCAATAACCCTTGATTACTTTCCTTTGATGTTCACGGACATCTTTGTACTGTGCTTCTTGCAACCCATAAGCGATTGCATCCTTGACTGAATGCATCGTACAACCAGCTGAAAATTTAAGTTTTAGTAAAAGCCTCTACATAAACAAACAGCGAAGCAAATTTTTCTTTCACCCAGACAGGATCTTGCGCACGTGATCTGTTTGATTGACGTGTGGTTTGATAAGGCTGTCTCTGATTGGCTAACATTAGCGGAGGAATTTTCCCCCTGTAAATTTGGCGCGCTGCAAGAGATAAAAGTTGTTTGTGCCGGGTCCTACCTCACCAGACCAGAAAACCATGCGAACGACTTTGAGAAAACCTAGGAAGTCAGAAACAAAGATAAGAAATTAGGAAATTAAGATGTGCGCAGTGACCAAAGTAGCTAAGGCTTCCGGGCTGGTCACTGCCATGTTAAGCTAGCTGACATATACAATAAGCGTAGTGAAAAATAATTACACAAAGAGAAAAGGTGCGCAAGTAACAATATTGACTTGTATTAAACAAAAACAAAACAAAGAAGAAAACAACAAAAACCAAAAAAACGACAACAACAAAATATGGCTAAAAGTGGTTAAACTAGAGTAAACTGAATTTATATTCTAGGAAACAGATTGCGAATTCAGCAGATATAACTTGAAGTGTTTAGAGAAGCTTAGGTGGAATAGTCTCATATTTTCAACAAAATCAAAGAACAAGTGGAAGCTTAATAGTTAACATTTATTTGTGGCCTTTGACTGGGCTATTGCGTGCAATTTGAAGACTTAGAGATATTAGTTTCGTTACGCTCTTTCTGATACACTCCCCTTCTTCTATGGAACCTCAACCCAAACAGCAATATTTTAAGAGAGACCCTCTTCTCATTCCTTGTCTTCTTTTCACGCTTTGGAACAGTCTACGCTTGTGACGCAATTCATAAATGCAGTATTTTCCTCTTTTGAGTACAAACATGGACAATTTCACGTAACAACATGTAGCTTTAGTTTTTCTTTATGCTGTCTATTTCCTATAAAAAACTCTCTCTGTCACGTTCATTTTATGTCAAGAGCTATAAAATATAGATTTGGCCAGGGCTAAAAGCGAAGCTCCCATTAATATTTTTATTATTTAAATCAAACAATAAACTTGTATTCCACAAATTAGTTAACTTTAGAGCACATCCACGTGACTTTTGAGGAGAAGGCTGAGTGATTTTCAGTCCAAGAGTCAGTGAAGCCGGGGGGAAGGGGTACTCCCATATACGGGCTATATAGGTACGTGCCGCAGAATAACGTATGGTTTTTGAGGTTCTCGGTCCTTAAATAAGGTACCTTTTGTGACCCTTTTGTTTCTGTCTCTGGTGTGGTCCTTAGATAGGGTATCTTCATTGTATTATCTAATACTGGAGTGTGAAAACGCCCGCCTAAACGAACGGTTTTTTTTAACTTGATGTATCTGTTTAACTATGAACAAAATGATTTTGCAACAGAGGCTTAAAGTCGTTAAGTGGGTAAATACATGTAAGGCCTCTTCAAGCCACATTATTAATTAATAATATGACTGTTGTTCATTTAATTAACAGAACTCTTACAACAAAACTTAGCTTAATGAAATAACAAGTGATAGGAAAGTAATGTTTAGTCGCGATCAAAGTTCAATACGAATAGAGTTGGTAGAGACACTCTTGTACGAATAATCCTGGCTGTAATCTGCTGTAATGAACAGACCGACTGTTCAATGTCAGGTTCTCGTTTCTCGCTGTTACACAGGAATGTTACATTTTCGATTTCCAGCAAATGTGGTATAAAACTTGAGTATAAAAAAATTGAAGGCCAACTTAACAATGTAAATAAAATTAAAAGTCCATCAGGTTCTTGCAAAACTGTCCAGATAAAAAGACCAAATGGTTTTGTCATTAACAATAAACAAACCAATTGAAGCGTGCTTTCCTGGTTTCCTGATTCTTGTGTTGCACTATTCAGCGAGAGTGATCTCACAGAATAAACCATGACTACGAACGATCTGAGCTAAGTCTTCGGCCTCTTTCTTTTCTGTAACAATCATGACCTTAAGTGGGATGTTTATTCCTTCTCCTAAGCGTCATCGTCCTTTTGGGTCATTGCATTGGCTTCCAGTTACGACACTGTAAGGCAGGCGTTGCAAATAATTTATTAATTATACAGTAGTTCTTTACTTATGTTTATGAAACAAAGTATATGTAAATGGGACAATTCCCTGTATCGTTTGATTAAGATACCTACCACTGAATCTTTTGAATGACCACAACAGGTCGGTCGACCAGGTCACGCTCTAGATCACATAGTTGTCCGTTATCGCTCATGGCCAAAAGTTGCTCTCCAATTTCGATTTGAAAAGTCCATTCATGGTAGCTTTTAGCCTCACAATGGATTTCAACTGTGTAGAAAGCATTGTTTGTGAGAGATCCGGAATCTGACATCATTATACAACTTGCACAACCCCCGGATACAACCAAAAAGGGATATGTTTTGAATCAAGACCCCCAGTTTTCGCCAGAAATAAAGGTTAATGTATTCACGGATAGTTAAATTTTCCCTTTTTATGTCATGCACTGCCACAGGGAGCAGGGGAGCCAAATTTGAGCTTTGCGAATATTAAATATTCGATGTTAAACGTGGTCTTACGTTGTCCAGTCTTTTCGTTTAGGTGTTCGTGACGCTTAAGCCCACTGGGTATAGCATTCCATTCATCACTCAAATCTACTAGGAAAGTGTATAAAGCTTAGGACAAAGCTGTAATTCCGAACAAAACAAACTTACCCAAAGTGTGCAAAGTGCACGATACTTAACTTGATACCTGCTGGGCTTTAGCCGCCGCATAAACAAACGATCGGAAAACATCAAACAAGCGCCACGATATAGATCGAATGCTGTAAACTGTCGCTTATAAGCCCTGGGCTTATACAAGTTCGTAAGTGGTTTGGGGTGGGCTTATAAGCGGATGAAAAAAAAACGTTTCGAAATGAGCAGCAGCACTGTTAACGACGTATGATTTAAATTTATTAGTCTTACAATTGAAGCCTTAAAAAGGCAGCAATAAATCGAATTCAGTTAAATTTCAAAACAAAATCAAAACTGTAACAACACGAACGTAACTGGAACCCAACAAAATGAAAGTTCAGAGCTCATCCCCGCCGTCATTAGTTTAAGTTTTAATGTCTAGTTCACAGCAGAGAAGCTTCTTGTACTTGTAAAATGACGGTTAATTTCTAGTTTACCGAGTGGTGTGGCCTGCTTCAAGCTCATCATCCTCATTATTATCATAAACATCATCGTCTGAGTCATCACTCTCCAGATGAAACTCCACAAGGTCTTCATCAGCTGATTGCATCTTGTAATAGGGAATTCCCTCAATGTTAATGTCATCATCTTCCGATCCACTAAGATCAAGAGAAATTCTGCTTTTCTTAAAGCTTCTTATGATGCTGTCTTTGTTCTGGTTTACTTCTTGCCACGCTTTACCCACCCACTTAGAAGAACTCGCCTGTCTGATGCAGTCAATTTGCCTTCAGTGTACAACTGCAAGTTTTCACTCATGTGAGCCTCATGTTGGCGCTTTCTTGCCTCTTTAAAAGGTTTGTTAATGCACACATCTAAGGGCTGAATTCTACTTGTGCAGTGTGGCGGAACATTGACTAGTTCGGTCTTGTAATTACACAAGGCAGTTTTCACAGCATTGGTCTGCTGAGCGGCATGGACATCTGCCACCAAAATCTTTCCCGTTGACGAAGCACTGTGAGGACTTGTGAATACATTAGCCCATTCACTCGCCACCCACTCTTTCATAATTGCCTCGCCACACCATGCTTTTTCTTGAAACATAACGCATACCCTTTTATCCCAGTCATCTCTCTCAGTCTTGGAAATTCTCTTCCCTTGTCCTCGAAATATTATGGTTGGCCTTACACGTTGCTTACCATCAGCAAACACTGTTAACTGAACTGTGCACTGACGCTTGTCTAAAGCTGAAGCTGCACTTGCAGACCAAACTTCTTTTGATCGAGCATCATCGTATCTCTTACCATCATCTAAGACAAATGGCAAAGGAGTTTGGTCCATATTGGCAATGTCACCAAGTTGGAAATTACCACGTCTTCGTACTCTCAGCAGTTTGGCGTGAAACTTGGAAATAGTCGCAGCCAAGTTGACAGGAGCATGCTGTGCAGCATGAGTGGTTTTGCGTAGACTAATGTTCTTTCTTTTGCAAAATCGTCTGAACCACTTATCAGAATATTTTAAATCTTTGACATCCGGATAGAGCGCATTCATCAATTGCTTTGTTCGAGTGTCAAACCACCATCTTTTGACTTTTCGTCCTTCCTTTCTCAGGTCTAAAAATTCTTTGCATAGCTTATCTTCAATGAAAGGATATCTCTTATTACATCCCTGACCAACCGCTTTGGATCTGCTATTCTGCTTCGTTATTTTTTCCCCTTTCTGAACCCACAACGTGGCGACGAATATGAAAGTAGTGCAGTACGATGCGACTATTGTGGCCACACTCCTTTGTGTCATGTTCCCTTTGACCCTAAGAGGCCAAGATATGACGCAACACCAGGTGCGACACCGACCAGAGGTATCTGTGGAAACAAATACAGTTTATTTTTCGGTGGTTAAAGAAGATGGACCTCAACCTGTTAGAGAAAGGCTCGACGAGGGATTAGCCAGAGAGGGACCAGAACAACTGACAAATGCAGACGATGCACCCGCAGCACATCAACCAGGGAGGACAAGTCACAGCAAGGGGTTTGCCGAAAAGGGGGCAGATGCCAGCGGCGCAGAGCCCACAAAAGAAGCCTCTGTCATAGAGGTCGATACAAGTGTCGATGATGAGGTCGGTCCCTTTCAGAGGAAAATCGATGCTGTCACAAAAACCAGAAGATTCGTTATCAGCAAAAATAGCGTAAATCTTTGCGCATTTTGTAATGTGTGTAGTGTGAAGATGGTTGCCGGAAAAGAGCACAAGGGCCAGGATTTGTTCCTGATTACCCAGTATATAGCCACTGCAATACATAAAACTAATGAAGCCATTTGTCTCTCATGCGAGAGCGAAATTCCTGCGGCGATTCTCGAAGTACAACGGCAAGTAGAAGACAAGTATCCGCACGTATTTTCCTTCCTGCCATGCCTGTAAGGTTGAGTTCTCTGCCATGCACAAAGTTGTCTTAAATAACATCAGGCAGCACGTAGATAGTCGTGGCCACAAGGAAAAGACCGGGAAGACAATGGCAGCAAGTTCAAAGGATATTTCATCATTTGTCACCCGCAAGATTCCAGCTAACAAGGAATGATCATGATTAGCAAAACAGCAGTGCCATGGATTTTATAAAGATAAGTTATCTTATGTAAATAATGGAGAAACTGTCGAAGTAAATCCCAAAATTCTTTTGTATGACCTAAAACCAAGAGAAGATAAAAGGAATGTGTTGTTTTACCTGGAACCTTTCTTTGTTTTAAATGAAACGGGGCATGAGAAGACAACAGGAGCATTTCGAAGTAGTAACTGTTTAAGGGCAGCAGATGAAGGAACATTTCCGGACGATATGCGTTCAGCTTGTTCGAATATACCTAAATAAGAATCATTCAGAAAACGAATCCTGCTAAGAAACGAGAAAAGTAGCCAGGAAACAAACAAACCAGACACAACAAGTATACATAACGAATACCTGACTTCCAAGGAAATGGTGGAAAAACTTAAAGAACAGAAAGAAAAACTTGATCATAAGGATGACCAGCTTTTCTTCTCATCATCTACCGCCATTAGGTTATGAATACGCGCTGGAAGTTTAAGAGACAAGTTGAGGGAATATTGCTGTAGGGGGTCTGTTAAGGCTATTTGTTTCAAGTTGCAGAGAGCTGCAAATTAAGGACTACTAAATGACAAAACCACTCTGATGGCAATGCTAGAGACTGTTTCGCGAAATCTGCATGCTGAAAAGAATGGTAAACAGTACCACCCATTGTTATTCTTGGACGTTCTGATGTTGGGAGGACCCAGAATCGCTACATTTGTGGCAATAAACCTGGGAGGCCCTGAAATACATTCCATCTACCGGTGGCGCAATCAATATCATATTATTGTTCCTGAAAAGCCCCTTTGGGGAGGTAACAAAAAGTATGTATGTATGTATGTTGACATAAATGGAGGGATTCAAGAAAGCAATTTCAAGAAACTTGGTCCACTGTAAAAAGAAGCCATGGTTAACATCACTTCCTCTTCTGTACCTGTCCTAACTGCAGAGGATAAGACAGCCATCATTGGCCATGTAACCTACCATCAGGATAGAGATGAGCTCTTGGGATTTTGTGGGGTTAATGGACAACACATGCCTTGACCATTTTGCTCTTAAAGTTGAGGATGGCGAGAAAGGTTTCACGAATATCGTTAATGCCTTCAAGGAGTACAAGATCGGTACCTTCGGCAGGGCAATATTCTTCAACCCACTCCATCCAAATCTTCCCCGCATTGCCATCCTGGTTATGCCCACCTGTAACACGTTTGACGACCACTTTGTCTATCAACAGTGGCAAGAAGTAAAGCGATTTTATGACCAAGAGTTTAAGAACATCATGGGTCCCCCGATCGGTAACAGTTCTGATGGAAACTCGCGGAGGTGGAAAATAATGCTACAGCTCGCCACGGTCGATGTTGGTAACAGATTCAGGCCCATTCCTCGAAATATACGCTTTATTTTTTCTTGCAGAAAGCTGGACACAGACGAGAATGGTTATCATGTGTGATCAAGATTACGTTCACAACCACAAGAAACTACTCAACCCCTTGGATCACGCAACCCGTGTGCTTAGAATGTGCGAGTATCTTGTTCACATGAACTATCTTCAATTAGTCAGTGAAGTCTTTCCTTTCGCTGATCATGGTTTGGGCGTAAGTGACAGTGAACGTCGTTACAGACAGGATTGGAGATCTGCTCAGAAATTAACATTTCCAAAGGTACAAGAATGTCTCGAGGCCTTGATTAATGGCACAGTACAAGGATATCCTCCTAATATCACGCTATTGGGAACGAAGATGTATCGTGTAATGATCTGGTATTACGTGGAGATCTTCTGCAGCTCTGTGGCATCATTAACCAATAGAATCAAGTACGCAGCCATCGTTAGGCACTTCCTTGGAATCTGGCAGAATTGGGTCTATCGACACAGGAACTTGAAGCTTTCACTGAACTTTTATCTCCCGAGAGACCTACACAGATGTCATTTTCTCCTGTCATTTTGCAGTGATGCTTATCGTCTACATAAGAGACAACGTCCCAAAGGAGGACTGTCGACTTGAGATAACTGGATCCAATGTGCTGGAGGAACAATTATTTACCAAACAATTCAAGGTCATAACCACCATAACTACACCTTCAGAGATTTGAGATGCAATACTTCTCACATGATTCGTTTAGAGGAGATTTGCGTGGACCCATCGGCTCCAGAATTTGCAAAGCCGCATCCCAAACAGGAGAGTATCTGGGGACAGCAGTACCCACGACCCTTCAATATGGCTAATCTGAAGGAGTATCCAGCCATTGGTGAAGAAATAGAAGCGTGGAAGCAAGGAATCAAGATTGCAAGAAGGTTGGAGAGGTCCGTTGGAATGATACCTACTGTTAGTGCTCAAGATAAAACCATAACGATGATGACAATGACAATGATGGTCATCAGGAATGTGAAAGTGTTAGTAGCTGTCTGGATAACGATGGCCAACATAATGAGGCAAATGTACTTTATGGCAACTATTGGTTTTACCGTCCCTTTGAGTGCTTAGGGAACACATTCTGTTTCAACCAGGACGAAGACGATGAAGACCCCGACTGTTCCCTTACCTCTTGTGACGAAGAGGATATGAGTGCTGGAGGTCCAACAGCTTCAGGTAAAGCAACAATTTACCAATACAGCCGTATTTATGTCCACTTTTAGAAATTGCCAAACCTTTAAAAAGTTAATATTAGCGTTACTTTTCATATGGAAAGATTTAATCACAGGCACTGCTGTATTGTTTTCAGATGAACTGCAGCCACTTTGTGAGGGTCTAGATGATGTGCTACCCCTCTTTCATGGCCTAGGGGAGCTTGATTCAGATGAGTTGTTGAATGCTGAAGTGTGTTTGCCTAACCAGGGAAAGATTTCTCCCAAAGTTGCCATTCCTGGTAGGAACGAAGAATTCTACAAGACAACGCTGGTTTCTCTATTAAATGAGGATCCACAATTATCTCACGACACGTATTACCTTAAAAATTATTCTAGACATTGGGCGACACGGTTTTGTTATAAAACAATTGTCAATTAACAATCAGAGCATTATAGAATCAACAGAATAATAACGCACAATTTGTATTTTTTGTTGCCTTGTTTGTTACATATTGCAAAGGGTTCGTCAACGCCGAGAATATAGAAATTCAGGAGATGCACCACATCTTCAGGATGCCGACCCTAGTAGAGTTGCTTTGTTTAACGATTATGCGGTATTGGACAGACAAAACAAAACATATGTGATTAGTAGTCTTGTCCGTCTTGTTCAAGTTGGAGACCATGGATGTCAAGAGAATAAAAGATCTGTGGCATACGATGACTCGAAGAAAGAAAGTATCAAGTGTTTCTTCCAAGGTCACCATAAGATTGGACAGAACTCTTTTGAGGTTTCTACAGCCAAGGCTTTTGAATTCCCATTCACCGATATCCTGATGCATGTTAACCTGGCAGTCTCTGATTCAGGCAGTACACTCGATATCCCTGAAGAGGAGCACAGGGAAGTCCAGCAAACCGTGAAGAAAGTGTTTGAGCAACGGAGATCAAGGAGGACTATCACAACCACTTTAGGATCTCTCTCAAGCACAGCACACGATAGGTTCATCGGCAGTGACGATGGAAGGGTGGTAGTTCAAGTTGAGC